TAAATTTTATATATAATTATATTATTAAACTAATCAAGACTGTAATTACTTTAAGTCAAGTGTACATTATGGAAGAAACACAAAATAAACAAATGCTAATTAGTAAAGAATAAGAACAAGCAGTAAGTTTGAGCATTGAAATATATAGCAGAGGCAAGAAAAAAAGGTAGTGGTTGCATGAAGATTGACACTGGTGCGGTGACTGGATTAAATGTTAAAGGCCTCCCATTCACACATTCTGAGATCTCCTCAAGCCGAATAGGTCTCAGAGAGGAGGAATGGGAGGATTACTGAGGAGCAGAATCACTCAGATAAGGTGTGATTGTTCCATTTCAAGAGAAACCCCCGCTGATCCAGGTGTACAGGACTATAGGTATTATCCTAAAGGAATCCAATGCGAAGCTATTTCCTCAACACGGAGCCGAGAGATGAGATTGAAGTGTGAGATGACAATCTGCTTGTGTGTGTGTGTGTTACTCACGTTCCGTCCTCATTGCTGCGGTAAAACACAAGGAACGGATCCGATTTGCCAAAGAAGTCCTTCTTGTCCAGTTTGTTGCCACAGAATTGCATCAGCACAGACTCCTGCAGGGCGAGAATGTTTTAGAAAAGCAGGTTATTAGGGCGGCATGAGTGCACGTGTGAAACTGGAGCATTTAGCAGACCTGAGACAACACTATCTGTGGAAATGAGCCCACTGTTTGCTCGTTTGGGATCTCTAGACAGCACTCGGTACAGTCAAACAAAAACTATTGAATTAGACAAGTTTAACACACTGTTTACAGCACTTCATCACAGTTTAGTCCCTCTAGGTTTAGAAAATTGTACTATTTTAAGGTCTCTTGAAAGTCTTGATTCTGATTGGCTGGAAGGTGTGGAATATAATCGTTTAATGCACATAAATTTTGATCAGAGTTCAAAATAAATTAGTTCGCTCAAATATTAGTTGTAACCCATAGTAACCCAGAGTCTTCAATTATCTTGCATCACTAGTAGCCAATAAGGATTGAGCAACTTCTAGAAACTCCCTAAACGTATTTGCAAAGTGTAACCTAACACTTGTTACTATGAGCTATTAGATATGCCCATGTCATTTATGCACAGTCTTTATCTCTTTGTTTGTGATTGATTCAAATCAGGGAAATCTACAACTCGGGCTCATTCTGATTACATACCCCCATATACATTACTGGAAAGTGCCAAATACGTCCCAGGAGCTACGTTTTTTGCAGTTTCTGTTTTTCGCGAATCCATCAGAGGGCGCTGTGTACGCTTTTTTCAGAACTCAAATTTTTCTCACGAGTGGCATTCGAGCCTGCTGTTCCTGTGCAAATCCACCAGAGGCCGCTGTCAACTGACTGACTGACCCACCCTCCTCCTTTCCTAAACCCAACTAATATGCTGCGTCTGAAACCGCATACTTTCATACTATATAGTACGCTAAAATCAGTATGCGAGCCGAGTAGTATGTCCGAATTCATAGAATTCGAAAATCAGTATGCGAGAAGCACCCGGATGACTTACTAATTCCGACGAGATTCTGGAGTGCGCATCTCATGCATGCCCCGTGAGCGATCTTATGAATGGGAGTAAAGCGACGCAACTGACGTAGGTAGGTCACATGACTATGACAAAATGGCGGATGTAGTACGTCCGAATTCCATTCATACTTTTCACATTCATACTGTATAGAACGTACTTTTCTAACGGCCGAGTAGTACGTTTAAATTCAAAAGTAGTAGGCGGTTTCAGACACAGCCATGGTGTTTTCAAAGGCACCGACTGACCCGTCCACCCCTTCCCTAAACCCAATCGCCAATTTTAAAAAACATGTTTTTTTTTACCACGTTTTCAGATTTTACCACATTCCACCCTGTTATTTACTTGTTTATTTTATTTTTTGGCTTTTTATTTTAACCGCTTTCTGGAACCGTTCTTCACCAGACTCAAACCCTGTCATTATGGTCAACTCTGCTCTGCATCTCAAGTCTGCTGATGTACACGGTGAGCTACTGGACAACTGGTAACAGTGGAAAAGCCATCCATATGGAGGCAAGAGATCAGAAACGGCGCCAAACCGCCCGGTAGCATATGTTTAAAAAAACGTACTTCTGGCTACATAATTCGTGATCTCCAGAACTGCATATAGGGCTACGCTTTCAGAAAGAGCCTGTGTTGGAAATCTAACATGTCATAACTGACTAAAATCTGGTCAAATTAGGGGCCAAGCACCGTAGGTGCGTAGGCACCTATTGGATCCGTTAGCGTTCCTATTATTATTATTCTTCCTTCTTCTTCTTCTTCCGTTTTTTCCGCCAGATTTGAATGGCAGCCCATATAGGCGTATGCAGAAAAGTTGTATAATTTGGCACAATGATAGAGGACAGTATTAACATTAATCAGACCAAATATGAAGTCTGAAAATCAAACTCTCTAGCGCCACCACTTGTCCAAACTTTCATGTATGTTTATCATCATAATTTTTGAACCGAATGGGCTACAATCAAAATTCTTTTTTCCTCTGATTCCTTGGCTCAGTCCGATTCAAACGTACCCTATGACGTCATTTTCCGTCATGAATTTTTTCGCGCTATTTTAAATTTTTCGAAAAACCTATTTGATCGAACTCGTCCTAGGTCGTTTCTCCGATTTTCACCAAAATTGAATCACATGATTTACAGACCATGCCAACCAAAAGTTATGGAATTTCAGTTGATTTGACTAACCGTTTTTGTTTACTTGCGATCAAATTTAACGTAGGACTTGCGAAGATGGACTTGAGACGATATCTCCGTAACGCATTCACCGATTCACACCAAACTTGGTGTGTGTTATGACAACTAGGGTCTGAGGTTATATGCGGAGTTTCAGTGCACTGCCCCCTAGTGGTCCGGAGATAAAAAAAACTTGCATTTTTGCTTATAACGTCTCAACCTTTCATCTGAAACTCGTAAAACTGGTCTCATTACATCCGGCACAGCATGTCGAGTCGAATGATGTCTGATTTTTACAGGTCAGCCATTTTGTCCATCGCCCATTTCAATTTTTGGCCAAAAATGCTATATTTTACCAACACATTCACATATCATTACAAAACATTGTATGCATCTTCAACCCCATGCCCTGAAAGTGCTCAAAAACTTCAGGAGCAGCGCCACCTTTTGGGCAAAAGTGCTTGGCCCCTTAATTGCTGCTTGCAGCTATATTTTGTATTGTTTTCACTTATACACAATGGAAACACCACGATTCATTCGGCAACTGTTTGATATGTTAATATAAATCAGTATAAAGAATGCTAGAACCATGTGAGCACCGGCAAGAGCTTTCATTTGAGCTATAACTTGTACATGTGTCAGATGAACAATATCAGAATGAACCATTGTAAAATACCCAGCACGGGTATCTAAAATACTGTCTATTTAAGTGTAAATAACTTTTGTAGAGTGGTATAAAAACCAAAGTGATGCATGTGTGCATAAAATATAGATTCTACACTTTCAAATCAATTAACAGGGTCTGGTGCAACGGTAGCCCTTTAAATCTTAAAGCGAAAGTCAATGATGTCACGGACCCGGTAACGGGTCGGCAGAGTTTAACTGTTAAGTATGTTAAGACCTTAAGGGGGAGGTTTAGGGTTGGGGTAGGTGCAGATGTTCATAAAACACATAAGTTTAAACTCTCTGTCATGAACCAGACATTAAATAAATCAATCAAGAGCCCAAGGAGGTCTGTAGAGTCTACTTAGAACTCAAAACATTTAGGGCTGACCTGCCCAATTGGAGCATGCTCTGACCTCCGTTTATAACTCGAATGTTTAGCATGTTCCATTCCTCATCTACTGTACCCAGATGGCAAGGCTAAAAGGCCTAATCAAAAATTCATCTGACAGACACGCATTGAGTATCTGTGTGAGATGCTCCGCTCCAGCAGGGAATGGAATAGGGTCTATTGATGCCTGTTGTGAAAGACGAATGGAACAATTGCCCTAGCGATGCGCAGCTCTTTTTGTATTTCTCCATGTGTGTGTGTGTGTGTGTGTGTGTGTGTGTGGGCACAGCTGGAACTCCTGGCACATCGCACATGTTATTAAGGAATCCTGTGTTTTACAACTAAAGATAAATACTTTCAATAGACTATAACAGACATGCTGAGAAGCCAAGTGAAATTAGCTGGTGGCGAGCTTCCCTTTCTGCCTCGTGACTATATAAGCAGCAAACTACGAAATGAAACCGCATGGTAACTCATTCGAATAGATTTGACTGCTCACGAACAGTACTAATAGCTTGAAGCACAAAGAAGACTT